TAGTGCATGTGACAGTATGAAAGTATGTGATTTAGAAGTCATTACTCTTCTCTGGTTTATCTTTGTATTCTGTCATGTTGTGTATTTGCAAGTCAGTTCTAATTTGACTGGTGTGTCTTTGCTGAAGTTCCGAACATTTGGCACTTCTTAAAAAAAGACTTTGTCTTAACAATGATTTTATAAATCTGTACAATAATGTAAGAACATATATTAACAATATAGCTCCTGTTATGGTTTTATCTGTAAGGTGCTTTGTCTCTTTGCTTTACAAAGAACTGTATCATATTGTTATGTTCACTACAGTGTATTACATGAAACAAGAGGGTGTGTTATGAAAACCGTGTCCTCCTTTGAAGCAGCCCCCATCTGTGCGATCACCCTTCCTGACAACATTCCAGATGCTTCGTCCGTCTAACACTGTGCCTGAATCATCTCAAGCTTGTGACCTCACCCAGGTTTGCGGTCATGTGAAAGTAACTCTGCAGCTGCATCTGAAGAATGTCCCAGTCTGGTCTGAGAAAAGGCAGCTAGGATGCCAGTGATCTGGCAAAGGGCATGGCCCATTTCTTTCCGCTACAAGCAGAACTAAATATTTTCCTTAGAGGGTTTATTCTGGGCATGAAATCTTGTCTCATCAAGTGTTAATAAATGGACCTGTTGGGTTGTAGATGCATGTGCATGTGTCACACAATTTGCTCAAAAACCTGGCACAACTCACTGCAGGCGCACATAAGCATGACATAATTGTCCAGATAAAAGCATAAAAACAAACACTGACACAATGTTTCAGTGTTATAGTGTATGTGATGTTAACTGTAAAAATAACTTGTGTCAATGTTTGTTAAAGAACCAGAACAAGCCACATAATGCTCCTATAACATCCCCACAGGGACTGTTCAGAGGCTTGTAATTGATAAGATCATGCTTTAATATTGTTTAAATCATTTTATTACCATTATAATTAGTTTCTAATGGAAGTAACGAATTTGCAGAGCTCAGCAGAATTTCTGTTTTTATTGTGTCTTTATCTGTTATCATTTCAATAAACCTATGTTTTCATTGAAACTTATAATCTCTTTGGTGGACTTAGTGTAAGTTTGATTGTTATTTATTATGGCATCACTGTAACGCCCCTATCATAACTTTATGTGACACTTAAAGCTATTGCCTGTAAAATAAATCATTATGTCGTGTAAATTTAACATTTGGCACGGTGCCAGGAAAACCAGGCTGCAAACAGCTCCGGACAGAAACCTGCAGGTTGAGATCGAGGAGCGTTTCCCTACCAGATGTGGATGCAACTAAGCACTCCAAAGACTAGTCCGAGGATGAAAGCCATGGGCACAGCGAGCAGCGTGGTCAGCAGGCGGTAAAAGATGAATTTGACCAGCTCAAACGCGGCGTGGCTTCCTATCCACACCCTGTCGAAGCTGTGTGTGGAGATGGGCTCCGCGATGACATCTTCGAACCCAAACTGTCAGATCAAACAAGATTGGAGACAAAATAAGTTTAAAAAAATCATCAGTCACACGTGAAACATGACCAGGAAGGCGCCGGGAGATGATGGATTGACGCGCAAGCAGCCACTTCCAGGAATTCACGGTGAAGATGAAAAATGTCAGTTTACACAAAACAATAAGGTCACATTAAGTGGTAACCCCTGATAATTCACCTTGGCAGGCGCTACTTTTACTTTCAAGGTCACTCCACACAATATAGACTTTACTGTACCTTCAAGTGCGCATTGATATCGTTTGGATCTCGGTCCGGCGCCGTTGTATACACCTTCCCCTTCTTCGACAGAATTGGCTCTATCGATCTGTTGAATTCATCTTCGTCCATAATTATACTGGTGTCCGATTTCTCCTTTTCCAGACCCATGGTGTTCAGTCAGACGGGCAGACGGTGCAGGGAGAGCAGCTGGTGACGGTGCGCTCTGCGCGGTGTGCCGGACTGAGCGGCACCCCGCCCCGTATGGGAAGCAGCGTGTGGCCGAGGACACACAGCAAACTCAACGTTAATTCTCCGGATCACTTCAAGAGCTCACGGGTGACTGACAATACTGTATAATGTGCTGGTTTCCGGTCATGAGCCGTGGAGACCCCAACAGTCCTCGAGTTTCATGGCAACTCACACACCAGCACTCTCCAGCCATGTGATTAAGTCTAATCAGTACAGCAGAGCCTAGGGGCCATTTTCTCTAGTCACAGCTGAAAATACCGATCTTTCTGAGAAGTGGATAGTTTGGTTGAGACAGGCTTTATCTAACATACTGTATGTAGGAATGTTTGGGAAAATTGAACCACCTGCACTGTTGGATTATGCTGAAAAGATCAGTCAACTATCACCCCAGGCCCCCTGTGTTGGAAAGAAACGCCCACACATTTTCACACTTTGAAACTGTAAAATTCTGATTATCATTGTTGCTGTGGATGAACATACTGTTCTACCTGTTGAGTTGATTTACCCCGACTTTTCTCTGTGGTGTGTGGGGATTTATAACTCTGTAGCTGTTTCATGTTTTTGAACACATCAAGCAGCCAACGCTGTTAGAATAACTGCAGGTTTTCAGATGTCTAAACTGGACCCAAGGCGTTTCCCTCAGGCAGCCGGTGTTTCACATGGAGATGAATTAGCTTCTGAGGACAGGGCTTTGACCTGACCCCACGACCCCTTAGCAACATATATGTTTAAGATATATGTAAACACAGTAAACCCTTGTTACTATATATTAATTAAAACTGTGTTTACAAAGTTCCACTAAAAGCATATATAGTTTAATATGTGGTTTTCAGTTTTGTAAACTACTGTAAAAATATACTGATTGTGCTAATCTTCACTTTAACATCACATAACCGTATCAGTTCCTTGGTTTAATTCAGCCAGGGAAATGTTCTACAAAGGCCGACCTGGCAGCAGTCCTGAACTTTGCATCTCATTTGCTGATGTGGCAGGTCCAGATCCTGCCTATTGATGAGCAAACCTGTACACAACACCTTCTTTTGTTTAGACACCAGGGCCTGGAAATTATACACAGAGACAAGGAAGTAGTCCAGGGCAGTGAGCAACAGTAATGCAGAAACAGAGCAGGCAGAATAGAGGGAACGCTGGCATTCAGAGCGACCAGAGTTTCCCTGGCCCGAACACAGCCCCAGGTCAACATCACAATGCTCCTGGATTAACACACTGAGGATGATTCTGACACACGGCATTCAGCGGGAGGGGGGATCTGTTGGGCTGGCCTGATGGTGAGGGAGGGCAGTGTTGACAGGAGAGTATGTGAGTGTGTGAAAGAGAGCAGCAGAGAAAATGACTGCTTTTGGTTTGTGTTACAGTTTGGATACCAGTGGTGTGAGGAGACCGCGCAGCGGCAGCAGCAGAGCCTAATAAGGATGCTGGTCAGTCGGTCTGCCCAAAACACTGGTCTGGAACAAGCTAGTTCAGCAAACATTGGGCAGATTCCAAAGAAGTTTGGAAAGTAAAGATTTTTGTTACCCCCTGTTGCTTTGCATCAGCATTCAAGTCTAAAGTTCCCTCTGACCCTACTGTGACCTTAATTAATCAGAATCAGAATCAGGTTTGACAGCTGCCCATTTATCCAGAGGCCTGAAGCAGCAGCTGTGTTGTATCCCTGAAAATGTCTTCTGGTCTCAGGGACTTTATTTATGACAGTAACACTGGCAACATAGAACCTTTGCATTTTTCAAAGCCAATAGAAATGAAAACTAATAATATAAGGTCTGTGTAGTAAAAGGTTGTAAAACCAAAATCAAGTCACCATCTGATGACATCTTCACTGCAAGCAAACCTCAAGGACCTTTATCTGTTGTTTCTGATTGTGTTCTTTAATTTCATAGTCAGTGTGAACTTTCATTGTGGATGGAAATCCACGTTTGGTGTTGCACATTCTGTCAAACATGTCTGGGAATACACAAGACCATGCAAAAATGCAGAATGACCTTTGCAAAATCTTGGACTAGCACAGGCTAGAAGAGCCTAGTATCAGGTATATTATGAAATTCACATGTCAAAATGCCTCAACCAGTTCTTACATACAGTAAATAGGCTGTTAACTTTATTTTGCCCAACCTTTTGCTTTAGCTGACTTCAGTTTTATGTGTCGTGTTTTTTGTGTGCACGTGATGAGTGATGCTACAGCTTCACCATGGGCACTGCCAGTTGACCTTTCTCTGGCCCACAAGCCCCTCGATCCTGCTGGTTAATATTTAACAATTTAATCAAACGGCCGCATTCCAGGACATCCCAGCTGGCATTCCCTCGAGGGTTTGTGTCTTGACGTGGAGTGGTGTGGAACACTTCCTCTGACTTCATGAGGAACAAATGCATATTTGTCCAGGAGTTTCCAGGGGGAACAATGATATCAGTGCACCTGCAATGCAGAGGGATTTCCTGTTACACCCAAACAACCCTAATCTCTGTGGTGGAAACACACCACTTTAAGGACAGAGGGGAAAGGTGTGTATGCCTCTAATTGTCGCTTTGTGTACACATGTGCACTCAAGTATGGACATAGAGTATCTTCCTGTATGTATGTACTGTATATGTGCTAGTGTGAACTGGAAGAAGCTGTCTTCTGTGGTTAAATGTATAGTATCAGCCAGTAAAATGCTTTTGGTTTTGGACAAGACAGTTGAAGTGAATCAACTTGGCATCAAACCCAACGGCCTTCTCTCTGATGCTGATGTCTCTCAGTGACTCATTTGAACTTCTTTCACATAATAATAAATATTGCTTTCTGGCACAGAGCAGCTGGCAAGGAATGGGCTCTGTTAAATACAGAAAATGACCATAATTAAATTAAACCAAGTCCTTATGTCAGTCTGCCACAGAGATCTATATTTTACCCTACTGTAAAATGAAATGAAGGGAGAGCTGTCCCTGGTAGGCTAGTGGTTAAGGCGCAGCGCTCTCATCGTTGTGGCCTGGGTTTGAATCAGGGTTGCGTCAGGAAGGGCATCTAGCGTAAAACACGTGCCAAATGTCAACATGCGAGTCGTCAGTGTGACGATTCGCTGTGGCGACCCCTAAAACGCAAAAAGCTAAAAATGACTTTCTTTTTATGAAATGAAGGTATGTTTTAACAGGGCACCATGGTGGCGCAGTGGTTAGCTCTGTTGCCTTAAGCAAAAATATTATGGGTGCCTTTCTGTGAGGAGTTTGCATGTTCCCTAGGTTCCTCCCACAGTCCAAAGACAGTTCAGGTTGAGTGGCAACCTGTGTCGTCCAGTGTCAGCTGGGATTGACTCCATTCACCCATGACCCTTTTCAGGATAAGTGGTATAGATAATGTGCAAGAAAACAATGGTGAGCAAAAAAAAATAAAATAAAATAAAAATCCTCCAAGTCTGAGGCCATGGTGCTCTGTTGGAAAACAGTGGACTGCTCCCTCTGGGCTGGGAGTGAGTTGCTGGCCCAAGTGAAGGAGTTTAAGTATCTCTGGGTCTTGCTCATGAGTCAGGGTAAAATCGAGCGTGAGATTGATTGACAGGTGGAAAGGGGCAACATCATCATCAATGTGGACATTGTACCAGACCATCGTGGTGAAGAAGGAGCTGAGCTGAAAGGCAAAGCTTACCAGTCAGTCTATCCGACCTTCACCGATGGTCACAAGCTGTGGGTAGTGACCGAAAGAATAAAACCGCAAACACAAGTGGCCGAAATGAATTTCCTTCATGGGATGGCCTGACTTACCCTTAGAGACAGGGTGCAGAGTTCAGACATGTGGGAGGGGCTTGGAGTAGAACCACTGCTCCTTCACATCAAAAGATAATGGATGGATAGATAAAAATCAAATGCTTGTAAAACATTGACTTATCATCAGTAAGAACCTGTGGCCTCGTGCTTCTCCACTGACGTTTCTAGCTTCAGCAAGCAACTTTTTTTTGTTGTAGAAGCTGCTTATTACCAAAAGCATCCTGTTTTTGGTGCAAACACAAATTTATGCAGAATATGAGACACACTGCTGATCGAATTTCATAAGATATAATGCAATACTGCTGTGTGTTCATGCTGAAATGTGACTGAGTTGCTTAATATAATCCAGACACTGCCATTATCATACAGTGTAGCAAGAACAAGAACCTTTGGAACAAGCTTTATACAGTAAGCTGCTGTTAATGTAGTACCAATTAAAAATGTGGTAAATGCTTGAGTCTGAGATCAGGATGTCAGGACGTGCAGTTCAGTTTTCATGCACGGATGCTACTGTACCAGTCCAGAAGTTAAGCAACAGCAGGGTAATGCAAAACAGGTTAGTGGGAATAAAACTCAGTTGTGCATTGCTGTTAGGTAACATTACCAACATTACCTTTAATGCATATTATTGTTATTATACCAGTTCTAGAGTGATAAAGGGAAAACGTACAAAAACACACTTTAAAAATATTTAGATACTTCATTCAGATCCAGTATCAACAATAGAAACACCTCTTCTGCTCAGCCCCCAGATGTGGTGGACAGATGGAGAGATGAAGGGGAGGAGGAGGATGTTGGGTTTGGAAGGAGGAATGTCCTGACAGGCCCCTGCATACTGAGGCACTGACTGTCACACTTGTTCTAAGTAGTGGAAACACTTCTCAACAGGACTGAACGTCCCTCATACCATCAGGTACCATCATATCAAAACAGCCCAGATCTGTCTTGATGTGTTGGATGCTATCTGTAAGCTCTGAGAGTGTCACCTGTCCTGTTGCTCTCAATCATCCTGCTGACAGACTGAGCCACATCTGTAACAACAAAAATGTTATTTCATAGATTATGACTTGTGCACAGCCTGCTCTATTTTTCTTTGGTAAGGAGTCATGACATGAGTGTAATAGTTCACCAGGATGTGTCTGGATACAAAGCTTATTGGGCCAAAGGGAGGCAATTATTTACACGCCATGCA